AACCAAATTAAAATAAGGATAACAAAACTAGAGAAATTTAGAAAACGTGACATATGGGATCTAATCAAACGGTTTCCATTTGTAGAGTCAGATTTATTGTTTTACAGACTTTCAGCAGCTGGAAGTTCCTTTTGGCCTCAAATAAACGAGAAACAGCAGCTGCGTCAGGTCTGACCGGCTTTCACGACTATGAGAAACTTTATTTTAGTTTTACTCCAAATTACAGTTACAAAAAAAGCTCACTGACGATAAGCGCGCGCGCGCGCACACACACACACACACACACACACACACACACACACACGGACCCTCAAATAACGCGGGCGCACTCACACGGCGCAACAGCGGGACAGTGGTGTTGGTCACATGTCAACACGTTCATGTGTACATCACCTGAACATATGCAAGAAACATTAAGAAAAGGACACAACTGTTTTGGGTTACAGATTAACACAGAACATCAGGAAGTGGATCGGAAATGAAGGTTTCACTGTACACACACGCGCGCGAGCGAGCACACACAAGCGCGCACTGTCACTTCTTCCTCTGTGAAACTGTACAGATTCTGATGGCAGGGACCTGGAAGGATGAGGGTCCAAACAACTGTTTTACAGTCTTACTGGACAGGACAGGCTCACATGAAGCACCTTAAACAGCAAAAATATGGCACTAGACTCAGTAAACTATAACCAGATAGAATAAAAATGTAACAATGTCCATAGACTTACTCTGTTCACTTCAAACTGTGACTTTTACTTTGTGTGTGCGAGTATTTCTTTTTAAAAATCTTAGAATAATTGTTTTTTCCCTGAAACACCAAAGACCAACATGCCAAACAAGGAAAAAGTGCTGCGCTGCTGTAAAACACATCCCAGCTGCTGACATGAGAACATAAAGTGAATGAAAATTCWGATGTGGAATCTACAAGTTTCTTCATCTTCTCCTCCATCCTCAGCTGGGCTCCCTGGTTCTTTTCCTCTGCCTTCAAGTTTTCTTCATCTCTTCTCAGCTGTTTGTCTCGTGCTCCTCTCAGGCCCGGAGCGCGAAAGAAAGCGAAACGGGCTCGGTTCTGTCTCTCCGAGAAGCTCCCGCTCCCTCCTAGGGTTGGAAAGCGCTGCCGGCGGCAGCGATGCTCATGCTTTTCAGCTTGTTGTCCTTCTTCCACTTCATCCTCCGGTTCTGGAACCAGATCTTGATCTGCCGCTCGGACAGGCAGAGCGCGTGCGCGATCTCGATGCGCCTCCGCCGCGTCAGGTACCGGTTGAAGTGGAACTCCTTCTCCAGCTCCAGGGTCTGGTAGCGGGTGTAGGCCGTCCGCGCCCGTTTCCCGTCCGGGCCGGTCATATCTGAGGGGCAGGAGGGGGGGTTGGAGCGAAGAGAGGCAACAGCGTTACAAAGGATGTGGGCCCAAATGCAAAATATCAACCTGCTGAATTCGACAGGAACACAGCAGCGATTGTGGAACGTATGAAAAGCTGCTTTGCATCTGGTTTTATGTTTGGAGCTACAGGTGTTTGCGCCTCTAAATTCTTAGCGCCAGAACGCACAAAGCCAAGAGAAAAAACAATCAAACAAAAACAGAAAAAAAGGGGACATAAAGTCCCTCACGCGTTTTTATTTCTGACACACAGTTAACAGATCCGCTTTGATTTGTGACATTTTTCTGTTGTCTTTTCTTAAACTCACCCTCCATCTCCCACCTTCCCTCCTCAGGATTTTATTGCCCCGTCCTCTGCTTCACCTCTAACTGAGTTCTCACACGTAATAAAGCTTCACTTTTCAAAGGAGTAGCAGCTTCTCTTTCGTTCCTTTTCCCCCCTCTTTTTTTTTCCCACCCGACCCTGCCTGAGCTGCCCAGCCTGCTCCGGGCTCTCCCTCCTGACAGGCTTGCCTTTTCCCCGCGGCAGATTTATGACGCATTTGCGGGACTTAATAAAAGAAACGATATTTATGAGGTACAGAGAGAAACGCACTGCAGAAAAACACAAAACATTTTAGACAAAATATTTAAAATGGAAATTTGATTTTTTTCTTATCCTAAAATATAAAAAAATTGACGTTGTTTACTTTGTCAGTAAAATCGCTTGATTTTTTTTAATTCACGTGGTGTAAAAATAATAAAATAAGGATCTGACAAACTATTTTTTTGCAATTTAAATACCTCAGCTTGCAAAAAAAAAATCAAATCAAAACCCTGAAAGGTTTTGCTAAATGTTTTATGCGTGCAGAGGCGCGGGGCTGTCATCAGCCCCATGTGTCCAAACAATAAGCCCACTATCTGACCCTGCAGGAACTTCTCCTACACAAAGCTGATAAGAGCGCAGAGCAGCATGTACCATGGCTGATGTGCAGCTTTCTCATCCAGGGGAAAATCTGTGGTGTGTGCGCCTCGCTGACTGCGCTGCCAGCGGCGGACCCCGCCGGGCAGCCCTCCTGCTTCTGGTGGGAGAGCCCGCTCGCGGGCGGCGGGTTGCTCCCCAGACTCGGATCCGAGTTCAGCTCCTTTGCGTCCGGAGACGCGTCGTCCAGCTCGGTGAAGCGCGGACCGGCTGCAGCCGAGGGCAGAGAGGACGGGAGGTTCGGAGAGCCGAGGCTGCCGCTTCCTGTTTTCTCCGCCGCGGAGGACGAGCTCAGCTTGCCGCTCTCACGAGCTGCTGACAGCGGCGAGTTTGTGGCCGAGCTGAAGGAGCAGCTGGACGGCTGTCTGATGCCAAAGCCCCGGGAGTCCTCGACGAAGTGTCCGCCGGTGCTCGCTGCCCTGGTGGCCCCCCCACCTCCCCGGCTGGTCACGGTCAGATCCATGCCATTGTAGCCGTAGCCGTAGGAGCCCGTGGCATGGTGCATGGTGGCAGAGGAAGAGTCCCTGAACGTCCCGCTGCTCGGTGCGTCGCCGCCGCCGGCTCCATAATTCAGCAGCTGATAGTCGGGGCCATTTGGGTAGCGCCCCGAGAACGAGTTTACAAAGTAAGAGCTCATTTAGATGTTTTACAGAGTTGGCGGGCGAACAGCTGAGCAGTGGGGGCCAGCTGATTTGTTAGGTTTCTCCTGGTCGTTACAGCGCGGGCACTTTCAACGATTTATGATGTATTAGTGAATTATGGCGTTGCACTGTACTTCGGTTTGTAGCCGCGTACGCGCCGTCCAAATGTGGGGGTGGGGTGGCTAGCGGCTGTGCGCGCGTTCCGTGTGGATGTGTGAGTCTACGCGCGCGCGTGCGGTGGGGGAGGTGAGAGGTGAGGTGAGGGAGGAGAGAGAAAGAAAGGCGCAGGGGGGGAGGAGGAGGGGAGAGGTCACGTGCTTTTGTAGACCAGTCGTAAATTGTCACCGATGACTCCGCAGAGGTAATTCATGCTCTGAGGTTCCTAATGACAGGTTGGGCGGGGGGTGGGGAGTCTCTCTCTCTCTCTCTCTCT